GTGTAGAGTTAATCATGAGTCTGAACACTTTGAATGTTTAGCAATGCTGAACAGGTAAGCAAGTTTCTTTTCATGTTTCTTCTCTGCCACTATGATTTCCGTAAGAACTCTGTCTTTATAACCTGAAGGGCCAGAAACATTTTCAAACATCAATTGGCCTGTTACTGGAGACTAGTATTGAACCTACCGGGATCACATCTATCTACAGGTTTCCCCAGCAGTGCAGACACATTTCATTCTATAATTGAAAAATAGATTTGATTTATATTCCATTGTGTCAGAGCCTCCACTTAGGTCTCTTGACAGAGAAATCTGGGCAGCAGGGAGATGGACTAGATTTTTTTTTTGTTACTCCACAGATGTTTACAGAGAAACTGCAAAGATGAAGGTAGATGTTTATAAAAGGAGCCAAACTCTCTTCCTTGCAGATTTCAAAGTCAGACTGAGGGATGGGCAGCACAGAGAAAAAAAGACACAAAATCAGAGCAATGAAAGGATTTCCTGTCTTGGAACAGCTTGTAAAGAGAATTTGCCTAGTCCAACATTCCAGATCCTTGATGGACAGGTTCATTGTGTCCTCTGAAAATCCATAGGAGTAGGCATATTTATCTTGATTGCTATAAAGCCTAGAAAGGTGAGTGACTTGCCTAGGTTATATAGCTGGCAAATGGTAGAGTGATGACTTGAACTCGAGCTGATTCTGTCTTTCCATAAGATCTCATTCTTTCTTGTGCTCTTCATGAGAAACACACACTCTTTTGTTCTCTGTAAGTAGACAACCATGAACTGAGTTTATGGGTTTGATGATTCCTCCAGAAGGACAGAATATATGAATAATCTAAGACTCCTGGTATTGATTCAGGCAGTGACATTTTCCTGTGGATTTACGCTATAAACTGTAAACATTATTTTCTTCATGGAATGCTTTGATGCTAAGATAATCACTTATCAGAGTTACCTTAGTCTAGAAAACTCTGAGTTAACCCTCCAAGTGTAAAGGTAGTTAAACTTTCTGTAAACTTATAGATAGTCCCTAGTTTTGGCTTCATGAGCTTAGCAATCCCATTGCAACCACCCAGCTCTGCTGTTGGGCCATGAAAACTGCCAGAGACAATAATATAAACTCCATGGGTGTGGCTATGTTCTCATAACACTCTCTTTATGGACACTAACATTGGAAATTCATATTAATTTCACCTGTCATAAAGTAGTATTTCTTCTTTTGAAGCTTTTCAAACATGGAAATGAAAGAACCATTCTTGGTCGGGAGTCATATGAAAACAGGCAGAGACCTAGATTTAGCCAGTGAGCCATAGCTTGCTAATCTTTACTGTAGGGGATCACATTGCATTTTATTTTGCCCTATGTATGATATGATTTACTTTGAGAAAACTTGCATAAGTAGAAAAGACATTGAAACTAATTAATGAATACTACTGCACATAACTTGAAATCACATTGACACAAATTGTTGGTTACTAGGTTGGCTCAAAATTAATTGTTGCTACTTTTAAAAGAATATTTCCCTTGTTTATTTTAATGAATTTATTTAGTTGAATATAAGTGTCTATGTGTGTCTGCATATCATAGGGTGCATGTCGCAGATAAAAGACTGACCGCTTACTTGAGTTGGTTCTCTCCTCTCGCCATGTGACTCTTAGGGATTGAGATTAAAGCATATGAAAAAAAAAGCAGCATTGAAAAATCAAATGTCTGAGAAAGATAATACAACATCCATGCTAAAGAATATAAGGTTCCAGGCAGTGGTGGCGCACGCCTTTAATCCCAGCACTTGGGGGGGGGGCAAATGCAGGCGGATCTCTGTGAGTTTGAGGCCAACCTGGGCTACAAGAGTGAGTTCCAGGAAAGGCTCCAAAGCTAC